TACATTCCGCCTGAAAGACCGTGTTATAGGTACCCAGCGGTGTGCATATGTGAATATTGAGGTCTTCAGAGAAAGCTCCAGAACCTACACCTTCATTTTTGTTTTAGAACCATCGGTGAAAACTCTAAGCTCTTTTGGGCTTAATCCTTCCGGTTGGCTGTTTTCATTTAATTGTATCTTGTATTTCTTATCGAAAACAAATTGTTTAGGAATCCTATCGTATTTGGCTTGTAGGATAGGAATTTCTGAGTGAATTCTATCAATTATGTCTGTATGAGGGACACTATTCTGACTCCAAAGATTTAGGGTCTTGAGTCTGATGGCAGCTAAAGTCGCTTCTTGTTGTATATGTAGATAATAATAATAATAATAATAATAATATTCCACAACTATCACACAATGCCATCTAGTCCCAAGCTAAGCAGAGCTTGTGTTATGGGTACTAGACAACTGATAAACATACTTATATATTTCTAAATACATAAATATTATAGATAAATTACACCCAGACACAGAACAAATGATCGTGCTCATCACATAAACATTTGTCCTGGGTGGGAATCGAACCCACGACCTCCGGCATAGCAGTCAGGGTCACTAACCACTAGACCAACAGGCCTGTTCAATGATGAAGCGGAGTTAGCTCCAGCATCGCTTCCAAGGCTGCTGTTGGCGTAGTTCTTATGCAGCCTGTGGCAGCCATACATGCCAGTCTCTGGTAGCGCTGAAGCTTCTTAATTGTGGTGGCTTCATTTGTCTTGGTCCACCATACCAGAGCGCCGTATGTGATCATGGGCCGAATTACAGTTTTGTAAAGCCACAATATGATTTTTGGCGTCAGTCCGCAATCTTTTGCCAATCATGTTTCTGCATTGCCAGAAAGTTATACTACACTTTACTCTATTTTTGACATAACCGCCATTTTTTGCTACACGCATTTTTGTAGACGGTGCTGCAATTTCTGTATCCTAATGTCGTAGAACACTGCCGCCCACCCGTTGGAGAAGCGTTTCACCTCGTCATTGATTTCATCGTCGCTCCGGAAGCGTGGGCCACTCAAGTGTTTTTTAATTTCGGGAACAAGTGATAATCGCTATTCGCGAGGTCCGGACTGTACGGTGGGTGGGACATGACAGTCTATCCAAAGATTGTCAAAAGGTCCTGGTTTGGACGGGAAACATCCATCTTTATACGTGGTAGAGCCATGCTGCAGTTATATTAGTAGTATAGTTGTAGAACGAATGGGTCGGCTCGACCGGAGAAAGACTACGCTCTCACAAAATACCGGTGTCAAATAGTAGCTTAATGCTGCTGTGTTTCGTATGGTGAGTGTAGAGAACCGGAGACCCTTTTTACTGGAAACGGGGCATTCTATCTTATTCCTTACAGGTGACAACGCATCTGCATTTTGATTCGTAATCGAAGATAGATGTAGATGTCTATGGGCCACAGCAATCACTAGCCATCAGTAGTAGTGTGCGGGCTGTGTGCTCGTTTGTCACCCTATCTTATAAAAAAAAACGGGAGGTCGGGCGTAGTCGTTATTTTCGGATGTGTTGAACGAATATACACTTGTCGCCATACACTTCTGTCTGTCATGATGAATATCTACGGATGGGAGTCCCTTTGGCGTGCCAAAAGCGAATTACAGAACGAATCTCGCACTTGGCGGGAACAAAAACGAACATCACCATCTCGAACGGCTGCTGAACAAAGACAGCGGCGCAGCGAAGCGTGTTTGGGCGGAATCGAGAGTGGGGGAACAGCCGCACACAACGGTGTTGCCCGATTTCGCCAGGACCTATCTATGCAGCTGGAGCCCTTTGGGAACCTTATTTATTTTTATTTATTAATTATTTATTTGTTTATAAGGTATACCAACAGCAAAACACATAAAACATTAACAACAACATGATAACAAATGTATATAGTTAAATATGTTTGCCAATTACAGGTATACACAACATAACCCTAATGTGTAGCTTTATTATATTATAATGGTACTGAATACAAAATAACTTATATTAAGAAAAAACTAACTAAGGAATGAGTGTGTGCTGAGAGGGTGAAAAGAAATTGGTCAATTTTTTTTTTGAAGCATCGGGCAGAGTCGTTAAAAATGTCAATGTCCGGTATCTTGGTCATAATTTCATTGTATGTGTTGAGATAATGCGCGACTAAATTTGTTTTGTGGCAAGGTATGCTAAATAGTTTGCGGATTGTATATGGGGGGTATCTGTATGGGATAATTAATATGATGTGATCGAGTAGGTGCGTACTTTTGATTTTGTAATGCAGTTTCTTGTGTTTAGAAACATTAAGTCTGCAATGAGACGTCGGTCACGTAAGGCCATTTTGAAAAATGCTAGCCTCTGACTATAGAGGTGTCTATGCAATATGCCTGGAGTTAATTATTTCTGGATCAACCCTCGTACATGTGCAATTTAAGTTTGTAAAACGCACAGCCGACACTAGACAAATTAATTCAGTTGGGAGGTGTTAAAAGGTTGAACAATATATTTACAGTATGCTATGTTTGTACTAACCTACTACATAGCATTATATGTGGTAAAGCCTTGCTGCAGCTATATTATGTTTGTAGCACAAATGGGTCAGCTCGACCGGGGTAGAACGAGGCTCTTACAGAATACCGGCGTGAAATAGCATATATTGTTGGTAGTAGCACGAATGGATCGACTCGACCAGGGAATGGCCATGCTCTCAGCATACCAGTGTGCAGTAGTTACTTAATGCTGCTGTGTTTCGTATGGTATGTGTAGAGAACCGGATACCTTTTTTACGGTAATGGCATTCTGTTTTAGTATCTGCATTTTGACACAGAATAAATAATAGTACTACGTACAGAAGTTGCACTCCTTTGATGTCAACTGCTTGCCGACGTTTAATAGCCTACATAATTATTATTAATCAGATAAATCGCGCACGCTAGCTAAATAAAACTTTATTGCTGCGCGTTAGTGTCCATATTACTTTGCATCTTTTCCGCTTCCTAAGTCACGGCGGACTTTCCGTGGTTATTAAGGGATGTCAATAGAAAGTAAAAATATACATTGCGAAATATTAATTATGTTACTTAGGTGAAGTACCTATACTGACTATGATCGACTGATCATACTTTCGCCCCTATGTGAGTATTGCGATGCCTAACGCATGCAAATTGCAAGGTCATTCGTTGGGAATCGCAACGCTTTGTTCTGAAGAAATAGGTAGATAGTGTAAACAACAAATAAACCTGAAATGATTTAAATGTGATCTATTATTAATTATCTACTTACTTAAAAATCTTCTTAGTATACAAAGTTTTAATTTAGTTTTTTGTTATTTTTTTCTTGTTTAAATAAACTTTTTCCTTCAAATTCTTCGGCAACTTAAAAAATGATTGAAACCTTTTGTTGGTCATTTCATTTAGTATCCACCCACGCAACAATTATAGTAGGAACGACGTTTTGCTATTATAATTTATCAAATGGGTAATATACATAATATTTAAAAAACATTAAAACTTTTACAACAATTTTACCTACAATTAAATATACTAAACACTAAACAAAAACTGTTTCAATAAGTATTTACATAAAACTATTTACGTAAACAACGTTAAAAAACTTTAACATTGAATCGCCTACAACGCGTTAGCCCTGACTAGCGTTATTTCGCCCGGGCGCGTCGCGATTTTAGGTAATTATTTCACGCAAGTAGTAAGCGTGACAGAGGCCTGATTTTGATTCTTATTTAAGGATAGATGTGAATGTCTATGGGTCACACAATTCTCTTACCATTAAATGGATTGTGTGCTCATTTGTCAGCCTTATTCTATAAAAAGAAAACTAACAAAAACACTATTCTTTCATTGCTAATAGAGCTATATTCGCTATTTACAAGGTTTAAATAAAAGTAACACGTTTTTGCTATAAAGCTGTATCCTTCATTTTATTTTTAATAAAAGTACGAGGGAGAACCAGATACCATTTTTACTGAAAACGAGACATTCCATCTTATCTCTTAGGGGTGACAGCGCATCTGCATTTAATTCTTAATCTAGGACAAATGTCTATGAGCTATAGCGTACACTCCATCAGTGTCCTCGTTTGTCAATCTTGCGTGTGAGGTGATACGCTGCGAGCGCGGTGTGGCGTAGTGTTCGCACGAATCGCAACAGTTATTTATAGGCCATACAAATACCTTTACCGTGCGGGATTCAAACCTGCGGCCCTCAGCGCTGCAATTTCGCCACGGAGCCGTCATATTTTAATTTTTAAAATATTTTTGACATGAAGACTTCTTTAGAATCGTGGTCATTTGAAACTCGATGAAACGAAAAAGCTACACTAAAAGGAGTCTAGAGGATAATCTATGGGATTTAGCCTGAGAGAGAATGAGATAGAAGTATGTTGTAATAAATTGTTTCCTATTATCGGAGTGTCCTCTTGTAAAATAAACAGATTTTTTTTATTCAATGAATAAAATTATCATAATAATCCACGATTTTATAACTGTCGTGTTAAAGCAATCTACCGTCTATTTTGCGTACTAACTTGAGAGTCAATCATTTTTTATTGGATAAAATGAGTTTACTTTTAGAGAGAATAAGATGGTGCTATTATATTTTCTAAAGGTTTCACTTTTACTGCGTGTGAACTGCACACATGTTATTGTTACGAGCTAAGGGTTCGTGACAATAAGAACTGCCGATTAAATTACCAAAATTGACACTTTAATTACTGAAAACCAATTAAAACTTAACCCGACCAGGTGCAGAAAGTTCGAGTGTGGGGTTTTATAGAAAGCTTAGTTCTTCTTTTCGATACTAAATGGCGCTGTTGGTGGAAAGTTCTGGAATGGCATTTTCTAGAAAGCTCTCCTCGCTCTGTTTCCCGACACTAGATGGCGCTAGTGCCAGGTACTAGACATGAACTTAGGCGCGGAACATTATTTTTGTAAATAACCAACATTACGACGGAATGTTCGTGTGTTGGCAGACGCGGACGCGTTGTCGACGACGTGCGTGCGGCTGGCGTGCGAGGCGATGCGCTACGAGTGCGGGCGCGGCGCGCTGCGCGCGGGTGACGTGTGTGCGCTGCTGCGACGCTGCGCCGGCGTGGCGCGCCTCGCGCGGCGCTGGGCCGCCGCCATGCACCACGCGTACCTGCACCTCGCCTACAAGCTTGCGAGCGACGGCACGTTCTCCCTGCACGTGAGTACTCTAACACACACACACACACACACACACGCACGCACACACGCACACACGCACGCACGCACAATCACCACGCACGCACCACACACACACACACACACACACACACACACACACACACACACACACACACACACACTCGCACGCACACGCACACACGCACGCACACGCACGCACGCACACGCATACACGCACGCACACACACACACACGCACGCACACACACACACACACACACACACACACACACACACACACACACACACACACACACACACACAGCGCGCGCGCGCGCACACGCACGCACGCACCAACGCACGCGCGCGTTGTTTTGAAACGGACGTACTCTAACATACATACACTTATTTGTGGTAGAGCCATGCTGCAGTTATATTAGTAGTAGTCCGGGGATGGACCACGCTCTCACAGAATACCAGCATAAAATAGTAACGTAATCCTGCTGTATTTCGTATAGTGAGTGTAGAGAATCGGAGACCCTTTTCACTGGAAACGAAGCTTTCCACCTTAGTCCTCACGGGTGACAACGCATCTGCATTTTGATTTGTAACCGAGGATAGATGTGTATGTCTATGGGCCACATGAACTACTTTTTTTTTTATAGAAGAGGGGGCAAACGAGCATGTGGCTCACCTGATGTTAAGTGACTACCGCCGCCCATGATTAATTACTCATGATCACTTACCATCAGGTGGACTGTGTGCTCGTTTGTTACCGTATCCTATAAAAAAACGTACACACACATTGGCACAGCCTGCTGTCACTGAAGGTGTTTAACATAAACTCACATAATGACATAGCCTTGACTGCCTCATCGAAATGAATCAGTTAGGCTAAAAAACATCAGGTATTGAGTTTTTCTGTCGTGAAACTCTCAGTAAGGTAACCCTCGTGCCTCAGAAAGTAAAGGAAGCTGATGTGAAGCACTTATTCTATAAAAAAATATAATATTAATATTAAAAAATATTAATTAATAATATTAATATTAATTATATTAAATATTAATTATTGTAGCTGCACTCTGCTGTAGTATTTTGTGTGTCTGGTGGGAATCCTTTGGCGATGGGAATAACTGCATTTGCTCCATGTTTTTAATATAATAGTATTTTTACCTCAAAAATTTTATAATATTTAATAGAAATTGGTCAACACTACTAGTGGTATCTTCTTAACTATTTGTGCTGCCAAATAGCCAGTGCCTACACTGCTAATTTTGGTGTATATGGTATATCAATGATATACCATATATACCAAAATTAGTCTTATTATTTTCGCTGATCTTTCTGCTTTAGCTGACATTGTCTCATATCAACTTTGTGCCATGTAATGGAGGCGTAGGAAAATCCACAACCCAGAAAACTGTGTGTTTTCTGGGTTGTGGATGTGTTCGTATGGTCAGTGTAGAGAACCGGAGACCCATTTCACTGGAAACGAAGCATTCCATCTTAGTCCTCACGGGTGACAACGCATCTGCATTTTGATTCGCAATCGAGGATAGATGTAGATGTCTATGAGCTACAGCAACTACTTACCATCAGGTAGACTGTGTGCTCGTTTGTCACACATGTCTTTAAAAGAAACTGCGCTGTTGACAAATTGCCTGCCAAGTGGTAACTATTGAAAATGTCCCCTTATGAGGCAATCTATGAAGGAGGCTTATACTCAGACTGCCTCGTTCGTCTAGTGTTTGTAAACGCGACTACTGGCCATGACGTCCCGGGTTCAAATCCCGGGTCAAACCAAAAAAAAGTAATTGAGTTTTTCTGTAAAGAAACTCTAAGTAGCTGCCCGAAGTTATGAAGTTGCCAGTGTATCACCCTCGTGCCACGGAAAGCACGTTAAGTTGTTGGTCCTGCGCCTGATCTTTCTTTGGTCATGTCGGTTTACCGTCACATCGCACTATGAGAGTGAGGGAATAGAAAATGTCCCTGTGCGTGCATATACTCGGGCACTATAATTCTGTCCCACACCGATGGTCAGTCTCCCTTAAAGCTGGCCGACGTGACCGGAGTTCGGTTTAGAGGATGAGGACATATTCAGCAGTAGACTGGTGTTGGGCTGTTATTGAATTTATTGAAATTCAATTTCAGGTGGCGAACATCCCGTTACGCTGCGTGTGGCAGGTGACGATGCGTTTAGAGTTGGTGATTGAAGACGCTCGCCAGGCGGCGTGGCCGCGCGCAGAACACTTGCACGTGCGTGACGTCACGTACGGGGATGACGTCACGAAGGGCTCTGAATTTACGCGCGTGCAAGACCTGCAACGCGTGCTTGCGGGTGTGCCCCACGACTGGGGTCACGTGCCTAAGACTATATGGTTAGTGGTGTACTTGAACACGCATATAATAAGTCAGTAGTATAATAGTAGTAGTTCGTATAATAGTAAGTAATTATCCCACGCAGTTATACTTATATTTTCATTGATGACAGTTAGTGTTTTTACGAAATAAATTTAAACTTATCTCGTATACGACGGTCTACGGTCCAGGCATTTACGAGCATAAACTCGTAAATGCCTGGACCGTATGACTGAATTTAATGATTTTTTTGTATGTATTTTAGTGGAAGAAGAAGAATTTTTAGAAGAAGAGTGTGGTTTGCAAGATGATGCGGTGACCAGAATTAAGAAAGGAATGCTTCGGTGGTTTGGTCATGTTGAAAGAATGAATGAGGAAAGAGTAACAAAGCAAATATATGTTGCAGAAGTGAACGGAAGAGTCGGAAAGTGACGTCCTAGGCGAAAGTTTGTCGACCAAATAGGCGATATATTAAAAATGGGCCAAATTAAGAGTACCCTTAACCGACGAGCATGTATACGTAGGTATATGGATGTATAAGAGGCGAGAGAGGTGATCGTCCTAAATGGAAGTCTGAAGTCTCTAGTCCCTCTCGGTGACAGGCGTGAGTGCTCATGTATGTATGTATGTATTTTAGTAGGTCCCTGGATGGTTTAAAAACTCTTGGTGTAAGAACACCGATTCCTAGCAAGCATGATACGCGAGGCTATTGAAATTAAAAAGCATCCTAATTTCAATAGAGAAGATGGGTGGACGCTTCCATGTGCTTGCGATCTTATAATTAACATTAAATTCAAACCAAAGCATACCACTGCAAGGTTACATGATACTGTAAGCTCGTTCTGCGTAGATCGTACCAAAATTTAATATTCAAAAACTGAAGGGTTAACTATGACATTGCGACGTCAAACATCTCAGTTTCCCTAGTGACTATGGGCGTGCTGTGAAACACCTGAAACGTGTTAAAACGTGTAATATTTTTACAAATTATTTAACGTGATAAAATCCGTATAAATAATTTTATTTAATGTGTAGTGTTCGCGTAAATATAAGAAATCATTATATATAATGTTATTTTTACTTTACAGGAAAGTTTTCAAGTACCTGAAGAATAAGACGAAAGACGACGAACTGCTTGGAATTTAGCGTTGGTTGAGTACAACACTTGTTTGGCAAACTTTTAGACAAATATGGCCGTTATGCACTAAGAATATATAGTTTTTAAAGATGATTTCTTAACAATGGATGTGCTAGCTTCGTTTTAAATATTGCATTTATAAAACGTAGGGAAGCAATTTGTAGAATTTGTTCCTTTATATAATAATAATGTTTGATATTTTTTTATTTACTAGACTGAACTGAGATAAAGGTAAATTAAACAAAAAATCCAAAAAAAATGTAATGAAAGATATGTTAGATGTTTTATTTATTTATTAGCGTTATTTAAGAACATGCTTTTAAAAATCAGTTTTTGTTATTCCTAATTACTTTTGTGTTTTTCGCGCCAATGCGCCACTTTCCATCGACGAAACGTCTCGCTGAAGACATCTCCACAACTGGTCGCGTGCTCAACGCATTGCCTACTTCTCGGATTGTTTCGTAAACTTTAGATGGCCGGATTATCTATAAAATGATGGAAATATAGTTAAGTAATATTATATAATAGTTTTATTTGACCGTGTGACACAGTACGACCGTGCGGTGTAAGTAGTAGTAGCGTATTTTCACTACAAACTGGACATAAGAAACCACAGAATACTATAATACACAATAGAATGGCTGTCAACCTTATTGTGTACGAGGATAGGCGCCGCCGGGAATACACATATAAAAGCAATTACGTAGTATTATTACTACTACCAACCCGATTCGCTGTGTTAACAGTCAGATTTTAATACGTATTTATTTGTAAATAGCGTGCAATTTGGCATTTTCTAAATAAATTGCGTGCGAAATTTCGAAACGATTGTAACGGAACGTTTTAAAGCGACAGCAGTCTAATGTAGTAAGTAGGCAGGGCGCAGACCGCGAATTCAAAAAGGTCGTGGGTTCGAATCCACCATTGGACTACTGGCGTCAAAAAACGTCAAAATACATCTCGTGTTGACATACGTGTTAAGTGACATGTTAGTCTTATACCTAGTATTCTATGTAAGAAACTAATCAGAAAAGGGCAGCACCATCTAGAGGTGAGCGTTGCAACGACGAATCGTTTACGTAGACTGTTTCGTGTTCTGCGACGGTGAAACCGTTTTACGTCCTGAGTTCAGTCTTCGTTGCACAAACCAGTCTTCGAATTACTTGATGCGATTTTTTATTTTACTATAATACATACATAATAGTACGGGGGAGTGGGCGGAGCCCGTGTAGCCACTAACGTGTCAATTCACGCGTATAAATGTCAACACAATCGTTTCCAATTTTCGTGTCAAGCGTCGCTGCATGCAAATTATTTAAAAATTGGCAAGTTGCAAGTGCAATAATTACGTGTGGAAACAACAGCGGGAAATTGAATTTAAGTAAAGGAGACATATTCTACAACTGCCTCGTTGGTCTAGTGGTTGTAGTAGTGCGACTGCTAATCATGAGGTCCTGGGTTCGAATCCTGGGTTGGGCCAAAAATTTAATTATTGAGTTTTTCCGTCAAGAAATTCTCAGTAGTTGCCCGGAGTCAGGAAGTTGGCGGTGTCTCACTCCTGTGTCTCGGAAAGCATGTAAAGCGGTTGGTCCTGCGCCTGATCTCTCTCCGGTCGTGTTGGTTTACCATCCCATCGGATTATGAGAGTGATGGAATAGAGAGTGAATCTGTGCTTACGCATACACTTGGGCACTATAATCCTGTCCCGAGCCGATCGATGGTTAGCCTCCGTTGAGGCTGGCCGCCGTGGCCGGAATTCGGTCTGGAGGACATTATTATTATGTGTATTATAGTATTCTATGGAAAATACAGTCGAGAACGCAATGATTCAACTATCTATCTCACTCGTCGCGTCGTCGTCCTTAACGTTTCGCGTTTTATTGTAGTCTTTGGCATTCGTTTACAAACGTTAGTAAAGTCGAAAATCGTTGATAGTTGTAAGAAACTGCAACCATTTCACTCGACGAAAACGCAACTCTATTCCATGTTGGATAAGTTACGTCCTTTAAGCCGTCTTCAAACCAGTTGCTACAACGACCGTATTTCTGCAACCGTTTTCGTCGTCGGGAAAACGGTTGCTTTTCGTTCGTCAAAAATTCAACAACTCTACCCACAACTAGCACCATCGTCTCGAGAATAACTAAAATATAAATATTGTCAACCCGCACGTAGAGCGCGGCAATTATGGAAAATAATAATAAACTCCTCCAGTTTTTCAATAGGACGGGTCGGTTCGAACCTTAGAATTACTAAAACCTCAAAGAATACCAGCGTGAAGTTGACGCTTCACTTCTGCATTTCGTCTGTACTGGTGGCCGGAGACTCAAAACCGAGACTGTGTCGTGGTCCTTCACTGCTGGTCTTTGAAAGCTCAACATCGCTCTGCGAGTTATGGAGAGGGCGTTCAGCATGAAAGACATAAACAATGAATGGGCATCCGAAGTAAAATCGGAGTACGCGATATAGCCCAGCTAATCAATATAGGCCGGTCTATAGAACTGATGAGAGCTTCTCAAGTGGCAACATCGTACCTGCCAAGCGTGGTAACTATGGGGCAAGTTATGGTGGAGGTCTATGTTCAGCTGTGGACTTTTATGGCATTAATGGATAATGGACAGATTAACTTTTTTTCTGACGTGTTAGAGCCACACTGCAGCTATATTAACATAGAATACTATAATACATACATAATAGAACAGGGGAGTGGGCGGAGCCCGCGTAGCCACTAAAATGTCACTAACACGTCAATTCACACGTATAAATGTCAACAAGAGACGTGTTTTGACGTTTTTTTTATTTAAAAAAAAAGAATATTAACAATGCTATAAACATTACTAATATTCCCCTTAACCACTCGTGGTAAGCTTAAATTGCTTGTGTTACGAGTGGTTCACGCCAGTAGTCGAATGGTGGATTCGAACCCACGACCTTTTTGAATTCGCGGTCCGCGCCCTGCCATTAGGATACTGTCGCTTTAAAACGTTACGTTACAATCGTTTCCAAATTTCGCAAAATTATTTAGAAAATGCCAAATTGCACGCTATTGAGAAATAAATATGTATTAAAATGTAAAAGAATGGGGTATGAGAAGAGTTTGATGGGTCGGCTCGATCGGGGCAAGACCACGCTCTAACAATACCAGCGTAAAAAATAGCAGTGTAATGCTGCTGTGTTTCGAATGGTGAGTGTAGAGAGTCGGAGACCCTTTATACTGGAAACGAGGCATTCCGTCTCAGTCCTCAGGGGTGACAACGCATCTGCATTTTGATTCTTAATTGAAGTTAGATGTCTATGGGCCCAGCATCCACTTAGCCTCAGGTGGACTGTGTGCTCCTTTGTCACGTTCATTCTATAATTAAAAATATACTAATAATATGCCTTCGATTTCCGGTGCCGGATGTACTGATATGATCCGGAATATTAAAGTTATGATCTCAGTGTGCTCTGCGATATATGCAAACATCGTGAATACAATATTTATTTTTTATACATTTTGTCTCTTACTATGGCTCTGCACTGCTCGGCGTTTCTTAGAATTGGGAGCAGGTGCAGTGGTATTTTTAATGACTACCGAATTATGTACATTACGTTTTATATGAAAAATAAATATAATTGTAATAATGTAAAAGTTACAGCCCATATATGACCCACTCCTGGGCACAGGCCTGCACATGTCATTCCTGAGAGGGTTTAGGCTAAAAGAGTGCACCACCGCGTTGCCCGAACGCGTGGAAACCTGCATGTCAAAAACATTAAAAAAAATACTAACAAGACGTGAATACCGCGAACACGCATTGGGGCGAATGTTAAATAGGCACCTACATTTTAATTATTAAAATATATGTTTTTTGATGTTATTGACATTCTAATACATTTATGGTAATAAACTAATTGAGCACTTGTTCTTCAAGTCATTGAATTCCATTGCTGGACCTGGACATGGGCTACATCTTTTATATTATCCACAATAAACGTGCCAATTGGGTTCGTAAATGCTTCATTGAATAAAGTAAATGCTACGATAGGCTTAAATGTTTAAAAAAATCTAATGAATATAGATATTCCCCAAAAACCGGCATAAAGCATTACGCCGAACCGCTTGCACCCATCGACTCCCTCCTTGTCTTAACAGGTTACTACTCGCTTACATTTCTTCTCAAATTTGTCTGTTTAGTCTTAATTGCCGACCTATTACAACTTCATTTGCCTGTTCCGTTGCTCTAGTTCAAAAAATCAAAATCAGTATTGGGTTTTTCTATCTAGAAATTATCAATAACTATTAGCCCGGGAGGCGGGAAGTAGGTGTTTTTTCAACCACGTGCCTCAGAATGTACTTAAGGCTTTTGGTCCTTCATCTGATCTCTGTCCCGTCTTATCCGATTGCTGCTGTGAGAGTGCACCCGTGTCCTGTGTTTGCGCACATACTCGAGCACTATGATTCTATCCTGGGCAGATGGCTAGTGTCCGTGGATACTGACCGCCGGTCTGGAGGACATTGAAACAACCACTTGACTTAATAATTTCAGAGTCTATGTTGCTTAATATTTTAAATGACTTAACTGATATATAAATATGTGTTTATGTATAACAATGTGATTTAATTATCTATTGTTCTCATTGAGTTCTTATGTAAAAAACTTACCCGTCCAAAAACAACATTCCGTAAGTCGAACTGCGGCAACGGCTTGAAAGTGATATTGAAGATGCCGCAAACTTCGTCGTCGCGCGTCACTCTCATTGACAGCAAACCTAACACACGTCTTTTTAATTTGCATAACACACATGAGAGAGAACACAGTATACCTAGGTACTTTTTATGTGCCCCCCCCCCCTGTTGAGATACTGGGTACGAACAACCGTTAAATTCAAAATGAATCCATTGTCTTATTTCCATTTTACGAGTTCAAGATCCTGTAGCAATATTAATAATTTTATCTAAGCTTTGTGCATTTTTTTAAAAAGACTACGTACTCGGCGGCGAAGGAAAATATCGTGAGGAAACCTGCAT